GCAGCTCCATTCTATTCATATTATCCCCACCAACATCACAAACTGCATCCACCATCCCTTACCCTTCTTACCCCCACCCCTATTATTACCCACATCCTGTGCAGTCAGAACACGGTGGACCATCTACACATGTAGAGATTGGTGTTGGGGATCCTGCAGCTGTAGAAAATAAGCGTGTATACATTGAGCCTGGGGGTGATACATAAGTTCAATTTATTTTGTAAAGTTATCGTAATTTGATCTATTATATGTTCTTAATAAAAATTTTAACATGCAACTTCAATCGCTCAAGGCCATTTACCCACAAAATTCAGGACACTATACAGAACAAATATGATGCTTCTTACTTATCATGGAAGAATATCCTAAAAGAAGTTAGGGATATATGGTTTAGAGAATTTCAGGTATATTTATTTAACATTACTTAAATTTTTTTCTTTCATTTGTATTAATATTACTTATTATGCCTATGTTTTATAGAAAGATTTTAGATGGTTGCCTAAGCATGGCACGAGGATCAGAATAAATTTTAAGATGAGAGGATCGACTCATCTTAGGGACATGTTCATGGACATTAGAAAGTCCGGGGAGTGTCTAGTATGGATTGTCGAGGGAGTATGGGTAGATTTGAGTAGAGCTTTGGCGAGCCCTGAGTTCACCAAATTGAGATAGCAAAATAATCAAAATAGAGCATCTAATTATGGGGATTTAGGAAGCTCTCTTCATATTGGTGGATCAGTGCCTCATACTGAACATAGATGACGACTGGTAAAAGCTTTTAATTAGTTTAATGAATATATGTATATTATTTTAACTATATCTTATATTTGCAGAAAGAATTTCTTGGTTGGGAGCCTACACTACTGGAATTACATACGAGAATTCACCAACATCAAGATGATCATGAGTGGGTTGATGAGAAGACGAAAAAAGCTCATGTGATATAATTTTTTTAGTAATATAATAAAATAAATATAAATTTATTTTATGAATTTATTTTCGTAAGATAATTTTATAGAAGTTTGGGAAAGTCATCAGTCTACTGGTGAGGGATCATCTTCAGGATCGACCTAGAATTCTGAGTATCAGACGTGGTCAGATGTTGTTGGAGGAAGGCAGAGGGGGAGGGTTTATGACTTAGGTTTGCAGGAATATACTTATAAGGGCAGTTCATCTACGTCAGCATTTTATGATGTTAGTGAAACTGTTAGCTAGAGGGTTTATGCCCTGACAAGAGAGATAGATGATATGAGAAAAATTCAAAATGAGATGCAGGCGGAGCAAGAGCCGACACCTAAATCCTATGATACACGGACACGGACACGGCGACACGGACACGACACGACACGGACACGGGACGATTTTTTTTTTGAAAATATAGGACACGGGTACGGCGCGGACACGGTAATACATTTTTTTATATAGTGTATATATATTAATGTAATATCATATTAAAAATGACAAACAATATTAAATGAATGACATGATAACTTGTCTAGCTTATAATATAAAATATTTAATACAAAATATCTAGTACAACCACAAAAATATAAGCAAATAATCACTTACTACAACATCAAGCATTCAAGCTTTAACTATTAGGATTAGCTTTAGAGGTTTGTTTTTGGCCTTCAATATCATCATCATTGAATATCGCTACTTTCAACTCTAGTTCAACAAGAGAAAGATTTGTAATTGTGCAAAAAGAGAGGAGATGAAAATACCTTCACTGCCAAAGAGAAATGAAAATGAAAATATTCGATGAATTGGTATTAAATGCAAACGTTGATTAGGTGTTGTGAATATGAAATAAGAACTTTAGTTTAAATCTCGTAAAATATAATAAATTATATTTTAAAAATAAATTATATTTTAAAAAAATTATAAAATATTTAAGATACGCGTGTCGGACATGCGTGTCCAATTTATTTTTAATATTTTTTTAATCGGACACGTTTTCGGTGTGTCCGACACATGTCGGAGGAGTGTCGGACAAGTGTCGTGTCGGACACGGTGTCAGACACTGCACGCCTCTTTGAGGAGAAGTGTCGGTGCATCATAACCTAAATCATAGGGCAGTGAGGACACGGAGGATGATTAGTGTTGTTATTTGTTTAATAAACTTTTTGGTGTATTTTAAACATATGACTGTGGATTTCATATATTATGTTTGATTGTAGAATATATACATTTTTCTTTGTTTAAAGAATTGTTTCTGCTTATTATTGATTGTTTAAATATAATTTATTGAATGTGTTTTGTTATTTCATATGCAATGTTATGTTGATTTTGGATTCCATTTATGTGAATTGAGTATAGTGGTGTGTTGCTCTTAAAATTTCTATTTTATATATGTTTTGAATTCTTTGCAGTTATTGTGAAAATTGGTTTAAATAAAGGGAGGGTTGTCAATCTTTTTTTGAAAATGCTACAGTTTCTAGCGGTTAACCAGCAATTTAGTCGCCAGTAACTTTGATATCGGATGGGTTACAAATGTCGTCGGTGTTTTAATCTAGCCGTCGGTCGGCGGTCAACCAACGGCTTAGTCGTCGATTAATCTGGCAGTTTAATACGGTCGGTATGCCACCGTTAATTAAACAACGATCGTCAGTGTTTTGACCGCCAGAATTTACTGGATGTTATAGCCGCCGGAAGGCCGTCAGAACACTCAGCCGCTAGAAAATGATAGCCACAATTCCTTTCCTACGCAGTTTATACCGGCGGATCGTGAATTGCTGGAAAACCGCCAGTAACTTTTAAAACCACCGAAAAAGCCATATAAACTGCTGGAAAGTGCCACCGATAAGTGGTGATTTTCCTGTAGTGAAAGTAACAACAACAATAACATTAACACTTTATCCCACTATATGGGGTCGGTACATGAATCATTTCTCTCCATTGTGTCTTGTTAAGAGTCAAATTCTCATTTATATCAAATAATAAAAAGGTCATTTCTAATATTTTCTAATCAAATATTTTTAGGTCTACCTCGACCACTCTTAACATAGACCAAATCTAATACATCAACTCTTCTAATTGGGTCATCAGAAGGCCAATGTTTTATGTGACCAAACCATCTAAGGTGATTCTCTCTAATCTTATCTGCCACTGGAGCTACTCCAACTTTTCCACGTATATGCTTGTTTCGCATTCTATTTCTAAGAGTAAAGCCACTCATCCACCTTAGCATCCAGATCTCTACAACACTTAACTTAATTGTATGTTTCTCTTTTAATGGCCAACATTTTGCACCATAAAGCATTGCAACTCTCACCATAATCTTATAGAATTTTCCCTTAAGTTTGAGGAGTACTTTTTTCTATCACACAATAGACCCGATGCATTCCTCCTCTTGAACCATCCAACTTGAATTCTAATAATAATATCTCCATCTATTTCACCATTACTCTTGACAATAGACCCAAGATATTTAAAACATATACTCTTATTAATGACTTGATCGCTCAAAGTCATAATGTCTCCATTAGATCTATTACTACTAAAATTATACTATGTATTCTGTTTTATATCTACTCAAATAAAAACCTTTAGACTTTAAGGTTGACCTCAATAATTCAAGTTTACCTTCAACTCCCTATCTATTCCTATCAACTAGAAGAATATCATCAGCAAAAAGCATACACTAGTGTACATCCTCCTACAAATGTCTAGTAAGAACATCTATGAACAAAGCAAAAAGATATGATCCTTGATGTAATCCATCTAAAATAGGAGAATAGTTGGTCCAACCTCCATGTGTTTGAACACAAGTAACAATTTCTGCATACATATCCTTAAGGACTTGAATATAATCATTATTAATTAAGAGGAGGTTAAATCTATTATGCTTCACTTAAAAAGAACTGTAAGTATCTCATCATATTTTAAAAGGTGCGATATGAAACTCTAAGGCTTTCACGATGTGATCTCAATATGCATCCCATTTATCCGTTGTGTGGTTATGTTATCAATTTTGTAGTAGCATAGTTATAGAAGATATTGATGTTCCTGATCACAGAAGTAAAATATTTTGCAATGTCTAAGAATGACAAGGAAATGTTTGGCAAAAGAAATTCTTAAAGGAGTTGAGAAAAAAAAAAAGAAAGAGTTCTCTTTTTTATGATAATACTCTCAAGGGAAAAGAATGTCCAACTTAAATAACCTTTCATTCGCTGTATATTGGAAAAGGGTTGGTTAAAGGTTAAGAAAAATTAAAGGATCTACCAAAGAAAATCACCACGAAGAAATTAATACTTTGCAAAGCCTAATATTATTTCTTACAGGAAAAGGCATCATTCCTTGACATCATCAAACCCATACTATAATCCTGATCAAGTCTTACAAATGTGATTATCTACAACGCTTTATGAAGTAACTATCTGCCATCACCAAATACCTTGCCATAAGAATGTCCAACCCTTAAGGAACTGTTTAGCTTAAAGTAGGATTTAATAAATCTTGTAAATCCAGATATCATAAATCTTGGATGTGTTAAATCCTGAATATGATTTGACATGATAGATGTCAAATCTGATTAAATCCTGATAAAGTATTTGATATATATTTTGAAGATTCATGATTTAAATGAAGGAGATTAACAGGCTCAATGAGAGTTCAAATGTCATAAATCCTGCTTCCCCAAGATTTACTAAATCCAGGATTTAAGCTAAAATGAGATGAAAACAAGATTTAGGAAGGAGATAGTGTGACTCAAAAAACTATTTGGCAAGATTTAGTCAAGGCTGTAACTAACGAAGATCACAAAAAACTAAACATTGTAATCTTCTCATTGGTATAAGGATACTAATTTATGTTACTACGAGTGATGGTCCCAAATAAAGCTTATAAGGCTTCATTTTCTTGTCGAACTCGTATCTGCTTCCACCAACCAAAAAGGTTTCCCTTGTGCTTTAGATTTCAAACAATCTCAGCAATTCATTAAGAATCAATGCAACTAATGACGAGAAAAGTTGTCCTGGTCAATGGAATTTGGAAATTACCTTCATGGATAGGGAAATGTTGTCCTGGCGCTGGAGCTCTGAAAGCACCGCAAGGAGATCAGTCCTGAGAAGCCGAGAAACGTGCGTCCTCATAAAGTGGTCCAGTCGAGGGCCGGATCCCAGTCGCTTGAGCTGGTGGATAACAAAAAGACCTTCTTTCCCCATCTCCTTTTTCCTCCTCCATATAGAAAGGCTAGGGCTTGACGAGGATGGCGAATGGAATGAGCATTGACGAAGGACCGAACCTCCACCGAGAAGTCCGACGCTAGCATCTCGCCGCCGAAAGTTGGAGGGAGTCAAGCGATCGCCTTCGAGCGCGAGCGCCAACGCGGCCCCTGTTGCGGCTCGGCGTTTCAGTATACTCAGGGCGAAGTGAAGCATCACGAGGAGAACAAAAAAAAAAGGTGGGATTTAAAACAAATCGCTTCAAATATATAAATTTATATATATTACATTTTAAACATCTATTCATTTATTTAATATCTAAAATTCTAATTTATAAAACTTTCTAATGCATCAATTCCACCACTCCATTTCCTCTCCTTTAATCGACATGGCACTCCTCCATGTGAACTCAAATTTCTCTTTCTTCTTTTGCACTCTTCTTTTGTGAGCATCAAGCCCGTTCTATAAAATTATTATTATTTGTACTTCTGAGTAAATTAAAATCAAATTCACACACACATTTGATATATAAGCTTCGAACCAAAGAATTCTTGGTTGGTAGCCAAAGCTCTAAACTAATAAATCAAAGCAAGTTGTGTACTACAAAGTAAACTCATTCCTCATATATCTCTCTCACGAGCCTAAACAAAAACATCTTGAACCTTATGGGTAGGACATTCAAGTTAATTTACACCGAAGTATTTTAGTTGAAACTCAATTTAAATTGGAGTTTTATGTCACACACTTACAATATACTATTATTTACCAAGGGATAAGCATACTCTTCTTTATCAAGGGGAGTTATCATTATTACTTGTATTATGTTCTTATATATTGTAAGCTACCAACCCTGATTTCAATATCCAATTTTTATTTCATATGTTGTAGTAGATTTATTATTTTTCATGGTGTGTTTTATTTATTTTGATGAATATATATATTTTTTTAGGATTGATATATCATAAAAATTTAATCATTATCGGGCACGAATCTTAAAGCAAAATTAAGTTGGAAACTTCCAAAATTAAAATAGGGACTGTTGACCTCTCTTTTGCTCAAGCTCTAGGTCAAAAGAGTTGACTTGGTCAAACTGACCAAGCCAAGCCCTAAGACCACCTTCCTTGGGTTCCATGGGTCAGACCAAGTTCATTGAGCTCAGACCCATGTCTTGGGCCAACCAAGTTGACTAAGTCAACTTAGGTTGACTCGTTGAGCACTAATGGGTCAATTCAAGCTCTATTCAATTTCAAACCCTATCCTTAGCTCAAACCCTTGCCTCCTTTGACCTAATTGACTAAGTTGACCAAGTCAAGCTTTGACTTGGTCAACTCAAGTCTCATTAGATCAATTTGATCTTTTTAGGTCAATTTAAATTGTTTAAATATATTTAAAAGCCTTCCTAATCATCCCTTAGCCAAAACCGGCTAAGGGGGATTAATTCCCTCCTAATGAGCCTTAGGAGAGATCTAGACCCTTAATCATAGGTCGAGACCTATAAATAGGAAAATTAGGGTTTAGCTAAGGGGACGTTTTGCTCTTACTCTCTCTCTAAACACCCTCAGCCCCTAAGATTTGGTTTGAGAGCTCCCACAACCTTCCTCCACCCTTTCCAAGTCGAATCCCGCCGGTCAAGGCCGCTGCCGGTGAGATCTCCCCCGAACCAAGACTTAAAGGATTCCAAAACTTTCTTTAAATGATCCAAGGCTTTTCGAGCAATGATTTCTTTTACAAATAAGAGCGTGGATAGTCTACAAGTGCAACAAGCCCATATACGGTCCAAACTGTCCATTAAATTAAGGTGAATCTCTAACCCTAGCTAGAAGCATATATATCTAATTAACTTTTTTTGTAAAGCGTGTTTTAGGCCGTAAAAATGATACCCCGTGAATGCTCTTCATCTCTAGTACCTCTGTTTAAAATTTTATGGAATTCTATCGTGTGGATCGAGAGAACGAACCAATTATCTCTTTAGGGTTTCGGTTCAATGAGAGCTCGATCCATGCATTCAGATCGTTGATCTTGCAATCAACGGCCCTAATTGAGTCATCCCACTGTGTCTCCGAACCGCACGAGCTCTGTAGCCATCCTGATCTCCGTCCGCTCAGATCAAAGTCGTTCAATCTAAATAACAGAGGATAAAATGGTTGCCGAGAATGCTGACTCACTTAAGTGGAAAAGCATGTGGACACGCGCATTAAAGGCTAATGATTGCCAGCTGCGCAATCATTGGCATTTAATGCACCGCTGCCGGTCATCATTATCGCAGTTTGCGCCTGTGAACCAGAGGCTGCCAGGTGTCATCCTGATGGGTCTTGCCGTCATTTTTTTATTTGAATTAATTTAAATAGTATTTTAATTATTTTAATATAGGTTTTAATTAAATAATAATTATAAATTATTTTATAAATTAAAATATTGGTATTATATTAAAATACCCCCTTTAATTACAAAATTATCTGTATTGAATTATTTTAAAATTTCAGAGACTTTAATATTTATTTTAAGTTGATTTAATGTTTTTTTAATTACTTATTATTTTAAATTATTTTAAAACCCTTTAATTACATTGAACTTTAATAATTCACCATAATTTCAATTTAAATCTGATTTTTATGTATAATACCTAATATTTTTCAAAAAAAATATGTATTTTCATTTAAAAATATTTTTAGTTACAAATACTTAATTTTTCTATTGTATTTCTATATTATTTAATTAGTTAATTATTTAAATATTATTTAATAATTAATATATTAATTATTTTAAAATTATAAAATTATTTTCAAAATCTTTTTGAAACTCCCTTAGGTGGTCAGTGGATCTCCCCAATACTTACTAATTATAAATTGATTTATTTTTAATTATCTTTTTTTATAATTTATATGTATTTTAAAATTACTTTAAAACCACATATAATCTTAAATCCCCAATTTTTGGATATCCACTCTTGAAATATTAAGCATCGATCTTGAACATGAATAACATTCATGGGAGAGAGGATTAGTGGGTGGTTGAGTCCCAATCATTCACTAATCCCTTGATAAGCATGCTGTAATTTCTCTTTACTCATCTTTTGCATGCGTAGGATACACGAACACATAGTTTAGGCCCTCATAGATCTTAGGATTGGTGTGTTTACTATTTTTATGTATTTACCATCATGTTATCTTAAGGGTTAGTCTCTAGACTTGATTTAAAACCCATTCAACATAGTGACACTCTAAGGATAATAATTAACGACCCGTCTAGTAAACTTAAAAAAAATTTATGAGCTAGAGTATAGTCCCGATTGTCATAAAATTTCAAAAACTTAAACTTAGTCACATATTAAACCTCACAGAATTTTCTGGTAATTTTTAGGACCCTTTAGACCCCTTAATTAGCATACCCTAAATTACCCGTTAATTAGGCCCTCATAACTTTAAAAAAATCTAATAAATCCATTTCAACTCAGAAAAATACCCATAATACCTCAAACTCTTTAGAATTCAACCCTTGGTCTTAGGTAATTAAGTTCTTTTAATTAGATTTTAATCTAAATCTTAATTTAACTTTAATTAGAAATTACCTTTTTGCCCTAATTAAATAATTAAAAATTATTTAAAATTTAAATTTTCCCCAAACACTTAGGAACACATTCTTAAGTCATTTTTTATCTTTGAGGGTGATTCCAATTAGTTTGGAGTTGATTTGGATCAAAACTCTTAAAACACCCCTAATTAAATAATTTTATAATTGCTGAAAACTTCTAAAGTTCATAATTTTGCCTGAAAATTTCTAAATCCAACAAACTTAAAGCCTAACTACTCATTGTAAGCCCTAATATTTAAATAAAATGATAGAACTCCCAAACCTAGCCTATTTTCTATAATAATATTTTGGACCCCCTTAGCCTAGTGTATAGGAGGACCGTGGTCCCTCTAAAATTCACTAAGGCAACATAAACTTCAAAGATTAATATCCTAAGTATTAAAATGGATCAATAATTTAAAATTGAACCCCAATTCATTAATATTTAAACTTTAAATAAAGTTCCATTTTAAGACCTTCAACAAATTTGAATTTTAGACAACTTGAACTAACTACTTGACATAGGAACTATCCAAAGCCACACAAGCTTATTACACACACATAGAATTATCTACTAGAACACCACTTCTAGCCTAGGATTAGGGCTGGTGTTTTATTTCTTTCTACTTATGTGATGTGATGTGATCTGTGTGACACGAGTGATTGGTTGGTTTTGCTTCGCTCTATTGTGCTTGTTTATTATGATATTTATTTTGTTATTGTACTTTGTTCATTATGTGATGTATATGTTAGACTGCCCATAGGCTAGGATTGCTTTTATACTAACTCAATCTTATACGGGTGGCTACACTCATGTATCGCTAATAAAGGGGGCCAAAATCATTAAAGCTTTAATACTAATAATATTTTCTACAGATGCTCCAGAGACTGCTTAGCCCCCTTAAAATTAAAAGAGTGTGGTCATGCATGTTTGCTTTTCTGCACATATATAAACTACTTGGATGTGATATATAAATTGCTTAAAAATTTTATTAGGATAACCATACATAAGTTTGAGTCTAGATTTTTTATTTTTAAAATATAATTTGATGTAATTATTATTGAGTTGTGAAAATCTTTAAAAGTCCAGTACTTCAAACACTTGGTACTAAAAGATAATAAGAAAGGCCCTTTATCGGGAATTTTTTAGTCATTTGGATACCCTTCCGAAGGACGAACCATTAGGAGCCCAAAGGAGACGATCTGAAGGGAGATGATCCAGAGAAGAATGATCCACTCAAAGATGGAGACTTGAAGATGAAATGCCCAACTTTTAAGACTTACATCATTCATTAGGATTAGAATCCAGGTTTTTGTCGATGGGGCCTAACCACCATTATTTTTCTACAAACCTTGGGTTATACTTATACGACACTTATCATGGACTTTCTTACTTTACTATGTTGGTTATTTATATTGGTGTGTTTATTTTTTGTGCACATTATAAATTATCTGCTTTTCTTAGGTTTTTTTCTTGCATGTGTATGGCCTATTTTTGCTAGGTTCTTTAGGATAAAATTAATTTTCTACTCGCAATTAATATTTAAATTTTTAATAATTAAATAACTTTGAAATCTAACGACCTAGTGAATAGCTGGAATCGTCGAGGTCGCATGCATATTAATGCATCTCTCTTTCTCCTTGCTATAAGATACTTTCACGCATGCG